CTCTTTCTCCCGATGAATTTTAGGGACGAAATTAAAGCTTACTTTATTCTTGTATCATTTATTTTTTTCTATTCAAATGTAAGATTTTCTTATCTGGTAGATAATTTATCGTATGTGCTTATCACACAATTAAGGAAGATAACACGTGCTCCCCACACAAAAGACAGAAAAACCATATGCATGCCGAATGATAATATGTCTGTCCAAAGTTTACGAATTTCAAAAATTTGATATGGCTCTCTTTTAACCATTAAAAACAGAGATATTTATTTAATCCAAAATAATAAAGATCGTAAAGCATGCCCAAGAGTAGGATTTTCTAGAAATTTTTTTTGTTTCAACTTCAGAAAATTTTTTTAACAAAGAAATGCAGCAGAATTACAAATTTCTTTTGTGCCATAAATGCAAAATTTACTACAGTTAGCTGAAAACAAATTGAAAAAGATTTGCGGCATTTAAAGATCCTCTCATGCAACAACAAATTTAAAAACCAAAATAACCTGAGAAGAAATGAAGTAACTCCGTTACGATGGGCCCCGCACTTCATTACAGAAGCGAATCAGGGGCAAATATGTAAATAATCAAACATTTCAAAAGAAGAAGAGGAAAGCTCTCTCGAGAAGAGAGAGAGAAGAAGTTACAGAGATAAAGTTTTAAATTCGCAGTGCCATTGTCTTTCTTTGCATATTCCTTTTCGTTTACATTTAATATTTTTTTCCTCTTTTCTCACTTTATATCTCTACTTTACTTTTTTTTTTCCTGGGTTCTTCTACTTTTTTTGTTTCTTCTTCGTCTTCTTCCTCTGGCTGTTTCATCGGAAAAGAAGGTTTAGCTTTAGCCATGGCGGAGATAAGCCATCCTCCAATGGAACAGCTTCAAGACCTTGAATATTGCATCGACTCTAATCCTCCTTGGCGTAAAAAACCTCTCTTTCTCTCTCTCTCTCTTTTTATATATAGTTTTTGCAATTGAATATAATATGTTTATAAACCAACGACCTTATGAATTTACTTTGCCGATTAAATTATTGTAATTAAGGAAACTAGCGTTTTGGTGGGGTTTTCAAAGTTTTGATTTTCTTTCCCCACAAAAAACTCATTTTGTTGTTCTACATCCATTTTTAGATGAGGGATTTTTGTTTTTTTTTATCTTGATTTTTAACATTTTTTTGTTTACTAATTGTTTGTGAATAGGAGTGTATAAAGTTTCAATTTTTGAACATAGATAGATGCATATATTCATTTCGATCAAAAAAAAGATAGATGATTTGAAACTCTTCTTGGTGCCAAATTCTGAACAATTTTTGTTAATTGATTGTTTCTCTCAACCTTTTTGAACATAGCCTCTTCTTGGTGGCTTGGTGCCAAATTATGTTTTGGTTGTCATTGTATTTGTTTTATTGCAGCTGAAACAGTGTTACTAGCATTTCAAAACTACATTCTAATGCTTGGAACAAGTGCTTTTATACCCGCATTGCTCGTACCAGCAATGGGTGGGACTGATGTAAGCCTACACTATCTCTGTCTCTCTATATACTTAGTTGCTGACTTCAAAGATAACAAAAATGTGTCCTTGAGGTTCCCAACATCTAATCTATTTGTGTTCAAAAGGGGGACAAAGCTCGGGTTATGCAGACACTACTCTTTGTAGCTGGTATCAAGACATTTCTTCAATCTCTTTTTGGTACGAGGTTGCCTGCTGTTGTTGGAGGCTCTTTTGCCTATGTTGTCCCCATTGCTTACATCATTAATGACTCATCTTTGCAAAGGATCTCTAATGATCATGAGGTATTTTGCTAATGAGAACTCAAGCATATATAGATACGTCACAAAGATCATTTGTTTTCTGCATTTGGTAAGACAATGTATGTTATTGCAGAGATTTATTCACACAATGCGAGCCATACAAGGGGCTTTAATCGTAGCGTCAAGCATACAGATCATTCTTGGTTACAGCCAAGTATGGGGTCTTTTCTCGAGGTATACATATGTTTTGTTTTTGAAGAACATCCATTGCATTAATTATATGGCATTATTATCCAGATTCTCATTACGTGTTTTGGATCTTTTTTCGATTTTCAGGTTTTTTAGTCCTCTAGGAATGACACCAGTTGTTGGATTGGTTGGTCTCGGGATGTTCCAGCGAGGATTTCCTCAGGTAACTCACACAAATCCCACTCTACACCATTGTATTTTTCATTAAACATCAACAAAATCATATTTTTAAAAACTTTGTTACTCTTGATTTCTAGCTCGGGAACTGCATTGAGATTGGACTACCTATGCTCTTGCTTGTCATCGGACTAACCCAAGTAAAAAAATTTGTGTGGTTTTGACTTTTCTTCCTTGCTCTCTAAGTTCTGAACTTATTCTCTCTTGCTATCACTTTCTTCTTGGCAGTATCTAAAACATGTCAGACCATTTAAAGATGTCCCAATCTTTGAAAGATTTCCAATATTGATCTGCGTAACATTTGTTTGGATCTACGCCATAATCCTGACCGCGAGTGGAGCATACAGAGGCAAGCCATCGCATACACAGAATAGTTGCCGCACAGACAGAGCAAATCTTATATCAACCGCTCCATGGTATTTGAACAGCTCAGTATCCTCTTTATGTTGTGTTCTTCATATTATCATTGCGCTTTTATAATGTCTTAACAGGTTCAAATTCCCTTACCCTCTCCAATGGGGACCTCCAACATTTTCAGTAGGCCATTCGTTTGCTATGATGTCTGCGGTTCTTGTATCCATGGTTGAGGTATTAAAAAAGCAAACATCGTTAGATTCGTTTGCAAATTTTGATTTTGTTAAGTGGATGAAATGAGATGGTTACATATTTAATGGGTTGTGCAGTCTACTGCAGCTTACATGGCTGCTTCAAGATTAGCTATAGCCACGCCGCCTCCTGCCTATGTATTGAGTAGAGGCATTGGATGGCAGGTGAATAGTTTGATCAAGAAACACATTTCTTTAATCACGTATTGCACAATCTTCTATATTATAAAGCTGTTCTTGTATGTTACTTCTTGAACAATCAGGGGATTGGTGTGTTGCTTGATGGTTTATTCGGAACAGGCACAGGTTCTACTGTTTTAGTGTAAGTAAGCTAAGTGTTTCTATATAAGTAAAGCTGGGTGTTACTCTCTAATGACAGTGTTAAATTCTGTTATGCAGAGAGAATGTAGGACTTCTTGGGTTAACAAGAGTAGGAAGCCGTCGTGTTGTTCAAGTATCAGCAGGCTTCATGATCTTCTTCTCTACATTAGGTATAACAACTAACTCAACACTTCTAGGCTTTAACCATTCTATTGTATCGGTTTTGACCGTTTCTTGTTTGTTTCAAGCAGGCAAATTCGGAGCTGTTTTTGCGTCTATACCTGTCCCGATATACGCAGCATTGCACTGTGTCCTCTTCGGTCTAGTAGGTAAGAAGACCACAAAGATTAATAAAGACATCATCTTTGATTGATTCAATTACATTTGTTTTGTGGTCTTTTCTTTTTGCAGCTGCGGTTGGACTCTCGTTTCTTCAGTTCACAAACATGAACTCAATGAGAAACTTGATGATCACTGGTCTTTCGCTGTTTCTCGGAATCTCCATACCTCAGTTCTTTGTTCAGTATTGGGACGCTAGACATTACGGGCTAGTTCACACAAACGCAGGATGGTTCAATGCCTTCTTGAACACGGTGTTTATGTCTCCGGCGACTGTGGGATTGATCATCGCGGTTTTTATGGACAATACAGTTGAAGTTGAGAGATCAAAGAAAGACCGAGGCATGCCTTGGTGGGTAAAGTTTAGAACTTTCAGAGGAGATAATCGTAATGAAGAGTTTTACACTTTGCCCTTTAATCTCAACAGATTCTTCCCTCCTACTTAGCGGATGAAACAGAGTCTTCTCAAGAAGCTTTTAGATTCTGATAATTCTTTTTTTAGTGGTGGTTTTAATTGATAACCTCCATTGTTGAAGTAGTTATTATACTTCAAGATTCAATCTTTTCTTCTTTTCTGTAGATTTAATAAGTTCTTAATCTCAAATCATTTTTCTAGTTCACCTGTAATGAAATTGAGTTATTGTATAACCTTTCCATTATTTAATCACTCAATCTATGCCCATTAGATCACACAAGTGGATAACAGAGTTTTAATCAAATGGGGTTCTTCAAGAAACTCAGCCATAATCATACTTCAAATATTCACTAATATTTCTTCTTAATCGAATTCGGTTCTTGTAGAAATTATCAATAATAACCTTAACAGATTCTTCCCTCCTACATAGTAAACATAATGTCAGAGTCTTATCAAAAAGGTTTTAAATTCTGATTGTTTTATTTTTGGTGGTGGTTTTAATTGATGATAGTAACCTACATTGTTGAAGTAGTTTTTCACTTCAAGATTCAACCTTTCTTCTTTTATGCAAATTCAGTAAATTCTTGATCAGATCATTTTTCTTGTATTGAAATTGAGTTCTTGTAGAAACTTAAAATTGAGTTCTTGTATAAACTTTTAATTATTTATGCAGTCAATTTATTCCCATTGGATCAGACAAGTAGATAATAGATATTTAATCAAATTGGGTTTCTATTGATAAACCTCCATTCTTGTAGTAGTTTTTTTACTTCTATCCTGTAATGAAATTGGTGAAATCGAGAATTCTTTAACTTTCCATTATTTATTCACTCAAAGTAAAATTAGATTCACATGATTACATAATTGGTTAATTGAGTTTTAAACAATTTAGGTTCGTAAAGAGACTGACTATTCATTAGTTATTCAATCTTAATTCATCTTAATCGAATTCGGTTCTTGGAGAAAATCATCAATACTTCAAATATTCAAACATATTTCTTTTTTATCGAATTGGAATCATGTAAGGGAGTCATCGCTTTCAACTATGTTAATGAAAATTTCATCATAATCTAACTGATTCAGAGAGCACTTGTGTATGTGATAATTTATGTTTAGAAAAAAATAGCAGAGTTCTCAAAAATGCTCCGTATGCGAATCCAATAATAATTCACTTGACAACCAATACGTCTAATAAATATCTTGTTCATACTAGTCCCTACTGATAGAAAACATAATTTAATTATTCCATCGTAATTTGTCAGATTACGATCACTCTGTTTCTCCGCCTGCCTGATTAGAAGACCCAACTCTGCCTAAAGCTTTCTTGGCCTACCAAAAATGAAGAAAAAGAAAGGATCCATTAGTAATTCAGTACGAAAAAAATATTAGCATGGATATGTATATGAAATCGAGAGTATATTGCAGCATTTTTCGGTTTGACCTCGTTATCCCAATTTGTTAGTATGGTGATGAGGGAAAGAGAGACCACTTGAACAATAAGCGCGAATACGATTCCCAGCCAAAGCCCCTGAAATAAGTTTACAAAAGAAAAGGATCTCGTATTGAACGTATGCTAATTATCATACACTAGAACTCGTATATACACTTGAAGCAATAAGAGAATTGAACTCTATTTACCCAGCCGCCAAGATGTAAATGGAATCCAAGTAACAAACCCAACGGAACTCCGACAAGATAATATGAGCCAAGATTCACACAAGCTCCAATTTTTTGCCATCCACATCCTCTAGCAACCCTAGAGCAGAAAAAAGGAACCGAGATTCAGTTTGGTTCAACAGACCAAACCAAAGTTATTGCTTCAGTTGCAAGCAAAATTAATTTTTGGATTCATGAAAAATTATGGGACATACCTGATAGAACGCATTGGAGCCCGTCAAGGAAGTTGCCTGCGACAAAAATTGGTAACATCGACGCTACATATTTGATGACTTTTGGATCGCGGCTGAAGGCATATCCCAGCTTATGCCGCACCAGCAACAAAACCGATCCGATCAAAAGGCCCTCAGCGATGACAATGGTTACAACCACATGCACGGCCAATTTTGCCACTTCCGGATTCCCTGCTCCCAGCTCGTTTGACACCCTCGTACTGTAAGTAAGATAACAGAGGTGAGTTTACGCAATAGGAAAATTTTATATTTGCTCGCCTTGGTTATTTAGGTGATTACCTTGCGGTGCCACCAAGGCCAACGGGGATCATCCAGACGGTTAATGAAGTATTCAAGCTGTAAAATTGCAGAAATCGGGTGACCTTTATCTTCAGTAAAAAAAAGGAACAAAATTAGACAGTGATAAAATGTAATTCTTCTTACCAAATTGAAAGGACCGATGTCTCCAGAACTGGATTAGGGAGCAGACCTGACAGTAGAACCAAGAGCTCAAACGACCACATCTCAAAGCTCTCCATATGCATATGAGTTATTCATGATGAAAGAAAAAATAAACAAGGAATGTGGATTAAATATCACGAAAATCAAAAAAGAAAGCATTTGATATGGCACTCACCAGACCATAACAGCAGAAGGAAAACCGAGCTTCACAAAAGCACCAATATCGCTAATAGCCTCCTTGGAGAAACCAGTCCATGTGTGTGAGCAAGAAGGTGAGAACTTGACATAACAGGAAAGGAGAACGACATTAGTCCAATACGAGATCGAAATAGCAAGAGCAGCTCCCTTGTGTCCTAGACCAGTCTTCAAGACCAAGGCCCAACATAGAAGCACGTGAAGTGCAGTTGTAATTCCAGAGCTCACGAGTACAGGGAACACATTGTTTTGTGCTTGCAGAAACCTGTTAAGGCATTGTAGAAGTCCATAGGCGAAGATGCTCGGGATCATGTATCGTGCGTATGATCCAGCAAGCCTCGCGATGGACTTGTCTTGGTGGGCGATTACGAGGATATGCTCTGTGTTAGCCCAGACAATGGACAGAGGGATAGAGAGGAGCAACAGAACACACATGGCCCTCTGCATAAGTATGCCTATATTTCCGAACCGTCTCGCCCCGTAAGACTGGCCACAAAGTGTTTCAAGCGCACCCGCTGTTCCCATCTGTGAAATATACGCCATAGAATGAAGGAAAACAAAAATCAAAGATTTTTCTATAATGTTTATCACCCACATTTACACCCTGTGTCCGCACTGTGGTTTAGTGATTGAAAATCTACTCGTTCATAGTTTATTATCTCAAAATTCATGTGTTATTTTGCAGGATATCATAATTCTACGCCTACAGAGAGATGAGGCTACTGACCAGGAACGTAAAGCCAGTGACAGAGGCAAAAGAGGTGGCGATGGATGCAGCGGACAGAGAGAGTGAGCCAAGATGTCCGACAAACATGACCGAGATGACTTGGAGGGAATATTGAAGAATGCTCACGCCAATAAGTGGCGCAGATAGCCAAAACTGCTTTTTCACCTCAACCAATAAGTGATCGCCAATATTGATTCCTTTGCACACATTCATTGTTTCCCTTTATCACAGTTCTCTGCTCATATAAGAAGAAAAAGACTGTGTCAAAAATTGGATAAAGAGCAATGTATATGAGTAAAGAACAAACACCAAAATTCAGAAACAAGAGAAATTTCTCCTACTGTTCTCTTGTTAAGAACCAACTCTAATTTCCTCTGTAACTTTCCTTTATTATTGAATCAAGGTGAGAAGTACAATGAAGAATGCGTATGACTTATCTTTTCTTTACAATCTCATAACGACTATAACAGAAAAGATAAAACAAGCTCATGACGCTTAGTCAAATACATAATCAACATAACTCCCTCTAAAACATGATTAATCCTATTTCTACTAAGAGATTAATCCATCGTCTATACACGTGTGAACGCCTTCGTTTAACAACCTTCAACACGTGTAAACGATCTGAGCTTAAGTCGCATTCTGTTGCTGTTTAATCCTCTATCTTGTGTATACTTTCAAAGGTGGTGCTCTCCTACCAATACCCCCCCCCTTCGAAATGCATCTTGTCCCCAAGATCAATTGTAGGAAATTGCTGCAACAGATCTTTGGCTAGCATCCATGTAGACTCGTGAGAAGGAAGGTCCTTCCACACAACTAATATCTCCAAGTCTCCATTAGGTGTGTAACGATGCTCCACAATGTGATCAGGTAGCTTAAGCCAATCATCCTCCATAGACAATGTTGTTGGCAAAGGTAGAATCGATTGATCCGAACCCACCACAGCTTTCAACTGAGAAATGTGAAAGACCGGATGTATTTTCAAACCTACAGGTAGGGCCAAGCGATACACTGCCTTTCCAATGCGTTCAAGTATCTCAAATGGACCATAAAATCGTGCGGCCAATTTGTGACACATACGTCTAGCCACTGAAACCTGTCTATATGGTCTGAGTTTGAGAAAGACCTTTGTGTCCACTGTAAACTCTACATCACGTCGATGCTTATCGACTTGTAACTTCATCACATCTTGAGCAAGTTGCAAGTATTCTTTAATCTGAATAAGCATCCAGTCACGTTCCTTAAGCATCATCTCTAACTCAAAGTTAGTTGTCGATCCATCCTTAAATCTCAACAAAGTAGGTGGTTCTCGACCATAAACCACAGAGAATGGAGACGTTTTCAAAGCTGTATGATAATTTGTGTTATACCAAAGTTCAGCCCATGGTAGAAATTTACCCCAAGTCTTCGGATGAGCTGATGCCAAACACCTTAAGTACGTTTCTAAGCATCTATTGAGCACTTCCGTTTGTCCATCGGTTTATGGATAGAAGGCAGTGCTGTACTTAAGTTTAGTGCCTGACTGCTTGAATATCTCTTTCCAGAAATGGCTTAAAAAAATCCTATCTCTGTCGGAGACTATTGAGGCTGGAAATCCATGAAGTCGCACTATCTCTTTGATGAAATTCGTTTCCACATCAATCACAGAGAACAGATGTTTTAGCCCAATAAAGTGGCCATACTTGCTGAGTCGGTCAACCACTACTAGAATAACATTGAAGCCACATGAGAGAGGCAGACCTTCGATGAAATCTAAGCTTATATCTTCCCACACTGCATTTGGGAAAGGTAATGGCTGAAGGAGACCGGCTGGTGATAGAGTCGAGTACTTATGTGTTTGACAGATTCGGCATTCAGCAACAAACTTTTGCACCGACTCCTTCAATCCTTTCCAGTTAACTGACTGTTGAAGACGTTTCATTGTTTTTAATACACCTGAATGTCCTCCAATAGGTCCTTCATGATATTCAGCGAGTAACAGTGGAATGTAAGCTGAGCTCGAAGGAATAACCAGTCGTCTTTTATACCACAGTTTATCTTCAGCTACTGAATATCCTGCTTTAACCACTTCACAATCCTTGATCCTTTTAATCATATTCTGAATGAACGCATCTTCTTCAATCTTTTTGTACACATCCTGTATTTGTAAAACTGTTGGAACTGTCAACGCCAACAATGTTGTAGTTATCGACCCCAGATTAGTCTGCATACATCTAGACAACCCATCAGCAGCTCTGTTTTCTATTCCAGGTTTGTAGACAATATCAAAATCATAGCCTAATAGCCGTGTCAACCATCTCTGATATTCCATCGTGACCTCTCTTTGTTCCAACAGAAATTTCAGGCTCTTCTGGTCTGTATGAACGATGAACCTTCGTCCAAGGAGATAATGCTTCCACTTCTGTATAGCAAGCACTATAGCCATTAACTCTCTCTCATAAACCGATTTAAGTTGTTCTCTTGGAGTTAATATTGAACTGAAATACGCTATAGGTCTTTTGTTCTGCATCAATACTGCTCCCAAACCATAACCCGATGCATCTGTTTCTACAATAAAGACTTCAGAAAAATCAGGCAGAGCCAAAACCGGTGCTGAAATCATGGCTTTCTTCAATATCTCAAATGCTGTTTGTGCATTTTCGGACCACTGGAATTTATCCTTCTTGAGGATTTCTGTTAAAGGTCTTGCCAAGTGACCATATCCTTTGACGAAGCGACGGTAATAACTTGTTAACCCGAGAAATCCTCTTAACTCTTTCACGGTTGTTGGCACAGGCCATCTAAGCATCGCATCTGTTTTACTTGGGTCCGTAGCTACTCCTTTAGCTGAAATAATGTGGCCTAAGTAATCCACTTCTGACTGAGCAAAAGAACACTTCTTTTTGTTAGCAAAAAAGTGATTATCTGCAAAAACTTTCAACACCACCTCAAGATGGTCCCTGTGTTCTGTTAAGCTGCGACTGTATATCAATATGTCGTCGAAAAAAACGAGGACAAACTTCCGCAGAAACGAACGAAAGAGATCATTCATAAGAGACTGGAATGTGGCTGGTGCATTTGTAAGCCCGAAGGGCATTACAAAAAACTCGTAGTGCCCATCATGCGTTCTAAACGCTGTTTTCTCGATATCAGTCTCTTTCATGCGTATCTGATGATAACCAGAACGCAAGTCCAGCTTCGAAAATACCACCGCACCATGCAACTCATCCAAGAGTTCATCGATCATTGGTATGGGGAATTTGTCAGGAATAGTGGCTCGGTTCAATGCCCTGTAATCAATACAGAACCTCCAGCTCGTTTCCTTCTTCTTCACCAATAACACCGGGCTGGAGTAAGGGCTTACACTCTTCCTTATAGTGCCAGCCGTTAGCATATCTTGAACCATCTTTTCCATCACTTCCTTATGCATTTGCGGGTATCTGTATGGTCTGACATTAATTGGGCCATGACCATTCTGTAGTGTGATGGCATGTTCTCTTCCACGGATAGGAGGTAACTCTGTTGGAACAGCAAAGACACTGTTGTATTCCTGCAACAATTCGGTAATCACTATTGGCAACTCACTTGTCATTGCTTCTGCAATATTTTGATTACCGAACTCGAACGGTACTCCTTTTGACATCACTACAGGCTTCGAAGCTAATGATTTCAATGATAGACGTCGAGAGTGAAGAGAAATATCTCCATACAGTGTAATCCATTCACCATTATGGAGGAATGAAAACTCTTGTTTCTTCCAGTCGACATGACACTTCCCAAGTGTTTTCAACCACTGCACGCCTAATATGATGTCCACACTTCCAAGTTCAAATGATATGAAGTCTGTTGCAAACTCGTATCCAGCAATGGTGAACTTCACATCTCTGCATATCCCACAACTCTTCACCTGTAGACCATTACCCAACAATACGTCCATCGTAGTCTCTTCTGTCACAGTTATTCGAGCATCAAGGATTGTTTTTGGTGCAATGAAATTGTGGGAGGCCCCGCTGTCCAACATAACCACAACTGTTGTCTTCCCAATCTTGCCATAAAATTTTGTAGTTTTAGGAGAGTTTAGACCCAAAAAGCATTAAAGGACAAATGTGTAAGCTCACTCTCAGATGCAGCTTCCTCTTCCAACAGTTCAAACTGATTCTCGTCTAATACCTCAACTTCGAATCCATTCAACACTGTTCTGACTTGTAAATCTCGCTTTGGACATTCCTTGTCGTGACCTTTGAACCATTTTGCATCACACTTGAAACATAGTCCTAAACTTCTTTTCATATCCAACTCTGCATCGGATAACTTCAGTCTCGGTCTTGTCACATTTCTTTCCATTCCTTGGTGTCTTTTGGTATCACTCTGATCTGTGTTCTGTTGTCTTGGTCTATATGGTATCATCGCTTGTGATTTTGGCAAGCTGTTGTTGGTGAAGCTTCGTATATTACCCACTCTTTGTTGACTATATTCTTTCTTCGCAACTTCACTGACTACCTTGCAGAAGTTACTGCTTTCCATTTTAAGAACCGCCGCAATATGATTTGCTAATCCTTTTGGCTCCTTCATTTTGATAACCTCTTTCATCTCTGGTGACAGGCCATTGTAAAATATATCCTCCAGTCCTTTGTCGTCAACCCCTGATACTTGTGCTGATAAGTCTTCAAATTCTGAGACTGAGCGCACTTCCTGTTTGCTTGATCGAGTACAATCTTTTACCTGGTTCATCTTCCAGAGTTTCTGCAAATCTGACTAACAATTTTTCCTTGAAATCTCTCCAATTCCGGAAACCTTGTCTTTTTCTTGCCCAGACAAACCATTTCTTAACCTTTCCCAACAGTGTTAACGCAACCAAATCCAGCTTCGCATCATCCTCATATCTTCCAATTTCAAAGAAGTTTTCCACATATGCTATCCAAACGTAAGGTATAGATCCATCGAACATCAGCATTTCTATTTTCTTTAACATACTCTCTCGATTTGCTAATTCGTAATAACCTGGTCGATAACCTAGTGGAATTTCACTCTGGTTTGTTCCAAGGTGAGAGTTATGTACCTGATTCAAGTTTCTCGACGATTCTGGGATTTCGATCGGTCGCGATCCTCCATTTGAGCTTGGAGGCAGGTTCAATTGTTGTTGAATCGCCGTCAAAATTGAGTTAAGCTTTCCGTCAATTTCTGCCATTCTAGCTTCCGCTTTCGCGTTAGCTGCGCATAGTCTTGTATATCCG